TCCACAGTAGACGACCTGAGGGCCATCTACTCTCCCGTAGACGACCCTAAGGGCCATATACTCTCCCGCAGACGATCCTGAGGGCCATCTACTCTCCCGTAGACGACCCTGAGGGCCATCTACTCTCCCGTAGGCGACCCTGAGGGCTATATACTCTGCCGTAGACGACCCTGAGGGCCATTTACTCTCCCGTAGACAACCCTGAGGGTCATCTACTCTCCCATAGACGACCCTGAGGGCCATCTTCTCTCCCGTAGACGACCCTGAAGGCCATCTACTCTACAGTAGAAGAACCTGTGGGCCATATACTGTACAGTAGACGCCCCTGAGGATCATCTATTCTACAGTAGGCGACACTGAGAGTCATCTACTCTGCAGTAGGCGACTCTGTCTATCATCTGTAGCTACCCTGAGAGCAACCTATTCTCTCGTAGACGACGCTGAGAGCCATCTGTTCTACCGTAGGCGACCCTAAGGACCATATACTTTAAAGCAGACGACCCTGAGATCCACCTGCTCTACAGTAGACAACTCTGAGGTTCTTCTTACTCTACAGTAGAGGATCATCTAATCTACAGTAGGCGACCCTGAGGGCAATCTACTCTACAGTGGACGACCTTGGCGGCCATTTACTCTACAGTTGGCGACCTTGAGAGCCATCTACTCTACAGTAGACGACCCTGAGAGCCATCTATTTTACAGTGGACTACCCTTGGGGCCATTTACACTACAGTGGGCGACCCTGAGAGCCATCTACTCTACAGAAGACGTCCCTGAGGGCCATCTACTCGAGAGTAGATGCCCCCGAGGGCAATCCTCTCTACAGTAGACGCCCCTGAGGGCCATCTACTCTACAGGAGACGCCCCTGAGGACCATCTGCTCTTCCGTTGACGCCCTGAGGGCTATTTACTCTCCCGTAGACGACCCTAAGATTCATGTACTCTGCCGTAGACGACCCTAAGAATCATGTACTCTGCCGTAGACGACCCTGAGGTCCATCTACTCTGCCGTAGACGACTCTGAGGTCCATTTATTCTACAGTAGACGACCCTTAGGGCCATCTAATCTCCCGTAGACGACCCTGAGGGCCATCTCTACAGTAGACGACCCTTAGGGCCATATAATCTCCCGTAGACGACCCTAAGGGACATCTTATCTCCCGTAGACGACCCTGAGAGCCATTTACTCTCCCGTAAACGAACCTGAGAGACATCCACTCTCTAGTAGGCGCCCCTGAGATCCAACTGCTTTACAGTAGATGACCCTTACGACCACCTACTCTACAATAGACGCCCCTGAGGGATATCTTCTTTACAGTAGACGCTCCTAAGGGTCATCTACTCTACAGTAGACGCCCTTGAGGACCATTGAGAAAAAATTAACACTCTTTCCTTGTCGAATATATGATGAGAGGGAGTAGTTCTTCCTCTCTTTTAATCGTTTCAAAGAGATGTTTAGAAGACATTCCAATAATGCAATAATGCTTGTGTCCTAAGTCTTTTGTATTCTTCAAAAGGTGGAAATAAAATACGAATTTGTTTGCTTTTATTTAGAAAAAAAAGTTTATTTGGTTAAGAGCAAAGTAATGCACTAATTAAAAATAAAATGTCTCAAGTTTTCAAATTTTAAAAAAAAAATTCAAAAAAATATATATTTTCCAGTTTTCTCTTTGTTATTAAAATTTAAAAAAAAAATACAATTGCGAAAAAAAAAATCTTAAATCTTTTCCCTTTTCTCTTCATGTCGTATCTGAAAAATTTGCTTTCTTCGTTTCCGTCTACTTTGACAACCCGAGCCATTACTATCCGAATCACTTATACATGGCCGATCATCCCGGCCATGGTCTAACTTTAAATGTGAGTGATATTGTTCGCGTATGTTGAAGAGTTCGTTACACTGGGGACAGGAAAAGGAGTAGGTGGTCAATTTGTGACCACAGTTATAGTGGACATAGAGAGCCATGTTGTTTTCCAAAACACAATGGCAAATTTTACATTCAGCCGGTTGATTGTCGAAAATTTTCAAATGATACAGATCCTTGTGCAGTTGTAGAGCCTTTCTCGTCCGCACAAATTTCATGCAGATATCGCACCTTAATGGTCTTTCAGTGCAGTCAGTTAGATCGCTTTCACATAGAGTATCCATGTCTTCTTGGGTAGTATCCTCAACCGGATGATTGTCCATGTTTCTGTCCTCGCTTTTCAATTCCACAATATTATTTCGACTATCTTCCGATGATTCTGTGGAGTCTTCTATCAAAAATATGGGTTCTGTATTTTCAGAAATATTTGTCTCTTCTTTTACGCAAATCATTGAAACGAATTCTTCTGCAGGTTGATTCGGGTGGGAGGTTGGTTTTTCCACAGTTGCCGTTACTGGCTGTAAGCTAATGCAATTGGTCGCAGATTCTATATTGATTAAATCATCAAATGTCTGGTCCATGACTTGAGGAGTATTCTGAACTCTTAAATTTTGTTTTTCCATTGAATGTTGTCCACTGGAGGTCGTTAAGTTATAGTCCTCTTGATATTGATCATACAGCTTTAGCTGGGCTTCATGTACTGATTTTTGAAAATTACAAAATTTCCATACCTGACGCCAACATTGGCGGCAGATTGAGGTTAGATGACGATATTTACCTATATCTATGACCTAGGATTATAAAAAGGTTGGATTTGAAAAAACTGGAGGGACATTAATTGGCTTTAATGGTGTCACAACTTCAGACAAATTTATAAAAAAAAAATAAATTCTCTGAACATCAGACACCACTTTCAACCACTCTCACCCCTTCCTCTCTTCCCCTTACCGTAGGGTGGAAATATTTGACAATGATTTCATGCAGAGCATTAGGTTGTCCACTATCGTCATACAAACTCTTGCCTTCTTCGCATCTATGTCCACATAAACGACAGCAATTGCTCAGGGACATGTTCAAGAATTTTAAATATTTGTCCAGAAAGTGAGGTCGTATTGAATGTCTTCCCTAAAGGTCAAAAAGAAAAAGAAAATGAACAGAAAAAAAAACACATGAGAATGGTTTTTAAACTTTGAAATTTTTAAATCTACAAAGAAGGCAAGATTTCTAGAGTCCCAAGAATTTTTTCTATTTATTTAATTTTTATCATGGTAGTCTACTGGCCCTCAGGAGCGTCTATGGTAGAGCCCTCATGGTCGTCTACTGGAGAGTAGATGGCCCTCAGGGTCGTCTACAGGAGAGTAGATGGCCATCAGAGTCGTCTACGGAAGAGTAGATGACCCTCAGGGTGGTCTTCGAGAGAGAAGATGACCCTCTGGGTCGTCTCCGGGAGAGTAGATGACCACCAGGAGCGTCTACGGTAGAGTAGATGGTCCTCAGGAACGTCTACGGTAGAGTAAATGGTCCTCAGGAGCGTCTACTGTAGAGTAGATGGCCCTCTGGGTAGTGTACTGGAGAGTAGATGCCCCTCAGAGTCGTCTAGGGGAGAGTAGATGACCCTCAGGGTGGTTTGCTGTATAGTAGATTTCCCTCAGGGCGTCTACGGTAAAGTAGATGGTCCTCAGGAGCGTTTGCGATGGAGTAGATGGTCCTCAGGAGCGTCTACGGTAGAGTAGGTGGTCCTCAGGAATGTCTACGGTGGAGAAGATGATCCCCAGGAATGTCTACGGTAGAGTAGAAGATCCTCAGGAGCGTATACGGCAGAGTAGATAGTCCTCAGGAGCGTCTACGGTAGAGTAGATGGTCCTCAGGAGCGTCTACTGTAGAGAAAATGGTCCTTCGGAGCGACTACTGTGGAGTAGGTGGTTCGCAGGCGCATCTGCGGTACAGTAGATGGCCCTCAGGGTCCTCCACTGTAGAGTAGATGGTCCTCAGGGGTGTCTACGGTGGAGTAGATGGTCCTCAGGAGCGTCTACGGCAGAGTAGATGGTCCTCAGTAGGGTCTACGGTGGAGTAGATGGTTCTCAGAAGCGTCTTCGGTAGAGTAGATGGTCTTTAGGAGCGTCTACGGTAGAGTAGGTGGTCCTCAGGAATGTCTACGGTGGAGTAGATGATCCCCAGGAACGTCTACCGTAGAGTAGATGATCCTCAGGAGCGTATACGGCAGAGTAGATGGTCCTCACGAGCGTCTACGATAGAGTAGATAGTCCTCAGGAACGTCTACGTTAGAGTAGATGGTCCTCAGGAGCGTCTACTGTAGAGAAAATGGTCCTTCGAAGCGACTACTGTGGAGTAGGTGGTTCTCAGGCGCATCTGCGGTACAGTAGATGGCCCTCAGGGTCCTCTACTGTAGAGTAGATGGTCCTCAGGAGCGTCTACTGTAGAGTAGATGGTCCTCAGGAGCGTCTACTGTATATAGGGTACATGACCTCTTCGGTCCTCTACTATAGAGTAGATGATCCCTTGGGTCCTCTACTATAGAGTAGATGACCCCTTGGGTCCTCTACTATAGAGTTGATGATCCCTTGGGTCGTCTACTTTAGAGTAGATGACCCCTTCGGTCCTCTACTATAGAGTAGATGACCCCTTCGGTCCTCTACTATAGAGTAGATGACCCCTTCGGTCCTCTACTATAGAGTAGATGACCCCTTGGGCCCTCTACTGTAGAGTAGATGATCCCTTGGGCCCTCTACTGTAGAGTAGATGACACCGTGGGCCCTACAATGTAGAGTAGATGACACCTTGGGCCCTCTACTGAAGAGTAGATGACCCCTTGGGTCCGCTACTGTAAAGCAGATGACCTCTTGAGCCCTCTAATGAAGAGTAGATGACCCCTTGGGTCCTCTAGTGAAGAGTAAATGACCCCTTCGGTCCTATAGAGTAGAATAGATGACACCTTGGGTCCTCTACGTAAGGGTAGATTACCGTTAGGCTTCTTTACTTCAAGGTAGATGATCCTTTTTGGTCCTCTTGTGTTAGGTAGATGTCCTTTGAGGTCCTCTGCCAAACCCTCCACTTTGGAGATTATGACCCAAAATAACGCCCCTCTCTTTAGTCCTCTCGAAAATCAAACAATGTTCGTTTTATAGAAAAATAGTGTTTGCATAATTTTTTTATTACATTTTAACTAAAAAAAGGGAAATTAACAATTTCCAAAAATGCGAATTATTGAAACAAAAAAAAATGAAATACAATTTTATCGCAGTATTTTAAGATATTTTGTATTTCTCTCCAGGGGATGTTCTCTTTCCCGATGACTATTTAGTTCACTAAATGTTGAATACGACTTGGTACAAAATGAACAAGCGTAGATCCATGAGGGGCCATTCGTCGTGCTAGACGAAGAAGATTGTGGCTTATTTTGTAACATTTTTGTAGCTGCTGGCGGTAGCTTAAATGTCCGCTTGCCCACAGCAATGCGAGGCTTAATAACGGTACGCAGGCATGGATGACTATTGAATTCTTGTTCGCTATTAAAACATTTCGTGCAGGATTTACACTCCAGCTGCAATAGCTTGAAATCGTCAATGGGTTTTGCACCCTCAACTCTCACAGTTATGTCTTTATTGAGTATGTGTCGCTTTGGCCGGTGTTGTGTGTGGGCAGGATGTTGGTGGCTACGTTTTAATAGAGTTCCTTGGTTATTTCGTCTCTCATTTGTATGTTGTGTTGGCCGCTCTTTGGGTGGTTGTAAAAGACTTGCGTTGTTTGTGAAAGTGGAGGTGGAGGCGGAGCTGGTGGCTGTCGTTATTTGCGGCGTGGTATTGGATTTTTTATTTTTATATAATTGATCTCTGTGCTGTTGCATTACATGTGTCTTCAACTCCTTTTTGGTTTTCCAAAAATAGCCACAAAATTTACATTTAAAAATCATGGCAGGTTCCAACTGATACTCATCCTTAAGTAGAACAATTGAGGGGCTATCATCACTGGTTTGTCCTGTATCTGGTGTTGTTGTTGAATTATTAAAGAATTCCTGGCCTTCGTTGGTGTAGTGCGGCTGCTGCGAGCCATCCTCAACAAATGGTAAATGTTCGGCAACAATTTCCCCACTCCAGGCATCAGTATACAATTCCTGTGGCACATGACTTTTAGTGGACATTTCATGGGCATTCTGTTGCACCTGTGAAAAACTATTTGCGGGATATTCAGCGGCATTTATCTCATCTAAATGCTGTTGTTCATATTCATTTTGTAAATGTAGCAACTCCATTTCATTGACTTCATTTTCATTGTTATTATCCAGCAAGATAGCTTCTCCTTCCTCATTCTCAAAATGGCCACCAGCCTCATCCGTAAATTCTTCTATGTTGATGACATTTGTCTCATCGCCCCCATATTGCTGGGGCCCTTTCATTGCATTTGAGGAACTGCAATCATCTTCCAGATATTCTTCCCCAATTGACCCTGAACCTTCTCCCGCTGGCTCCTCACCAAACTCATCTTTAATATTGAGATCGGAGGAGGTAATAATAAATTGTATGTCTTCTCTATTACTTCCATATTCAAAGTGTGTTTCCAATTTGGTTTCATTTGTATCTTCCGGGCAGGAGTCAAGGAGAATCGCTTGGGCCTCTTTAATGGTTCTTTGAAAACCGGTAAATACTTTAATGTGTATCCAACATTGGCGGCAAATGCCCGTCAAATAGGTGTATTTTTCGATATTTAAAACCTAAGATTTGAAATTTTGTTCCAATCAAATTTACAAGCAATAAGCTTTAAAAGGGGGACATTTAACAGTAAATTAAACACAAAGCGAGTGGAAGGTTTGGGCAAAATTCATGTTTTAAAAAATTCCTTAATATTTGAGGAAAACTATTCACATCTCAGAAGTAGCTGGCGTTTCAATTGTGTCTGTGGCCTACCTACCAATCGCTTTTTTGTTTCTTTGGCATAGCAATTTAGCATTAAATGTTAGAATAAAAGTCACTCTTACCGTAGGATGAAAGTATTTAGCGATGATTTCATACAAGGCATTTGGTTGACCACTCTCATCGTAGAGATTTTTAACATATTCGCACCACTTCACACACAAACGGCAGCTATTCTTCTGAGACATCTTTGAATAAGTTTTCCCATGAATACAACAAGAACACAATTAGAATAATGTCTTAAAAGCGGGCAGATTTGTAGGAGGATCCTAGCAGAAAAAGAAATCAAAAACAAAGGATACAAAGTTTTAATGAAACTTTTTTCTTTTGGAAAAATTTAGCAAAGCAATAATTTTGGTTTAAAAATCATCTGAAATCATCATCTTTGGGCCCTTAAAAATTGAAAAAAAAAATCGATCTTTTATTCTAGATTTTGGCAAGGAAAAGCAGTTCAATTGGGTGCACAACATATTTAAAATATCCGAAATAGGTTACTCCCATGGCACAATTATTGAGCCATGGTTACTCCTATGTAGGTGAGTAGTATATTTTTGTATTTTTCCATATTCTTCTAAATAGGTGAGTAACATACAGTTGTGTTTTTTATATATTAAGAAATCGATATAAAAACTTCAAGCCAGTTTTGAAGAGGAAAAAAGAGGTAAAATGTGCCAATTCGAAATCCATCATTTATTGACGCAACCAAGGGGCAAAGATCTTCCCCAAGGATCATATATATTTTTCACTTTTTATATAGAAAAACAAAAATACGGGCCGTCAATGTAGAACTTGGTTTAAGGGGCAGATATAACCCGATTCAGGCCTCAGTTGGAATTTTGAATACTAATTAAAAAAATTAAATAGGTTTCTTGAAAATTCACCGTTAAACTTGTTTAAGAAACCATTTCCGACAGCAACATGGAATGTTCGAGGAATTTGAAAAATGTAATTTAACTCAAGAAAATACTTTCGCAGATGTTTACATAAATACTTACCTGATTTAGTCAAGGACTATTTTTCAGTTTGATACCTTTTCTTTGAGCTACGTTTTCGGCTTAATACATAAAACTTATTTTTGCAATATTTGAAAATTTGCAATTGCTGCCCACGTCTCATAAACAGATTGAATAACATTTCGGACACATTTTCAAGGTCTATTCTGGTAAACTACATTTTTCATCTTATCTTCATAAAACTAATTATGGAAAATAAAAATAAGTATATTTGCTTATTGACCTACCTGTTAATTCGGTCAGGTAATCGCTATCAGGAATTCCCCATGTATTCTTGAAAGCAGACAGGAGACAGTTGCTATCAATTTACTCGAACTAAAAGAAAACAGAATAAAAAAGGGAAAAGTGATTAGTTCAATGAGCGCTAATTTTTTTAGTGCAAAAAAAATGAAACCTATTAATTCAAAATATATGGGTTCTAAAAAAGATAAAGCAGAGAAGCTGTATCTTTTTTGGTCTTCTTTCATTTTGCGGTGTCAGAATGTGGTCAATAATCAGAATTATCCGTCAATAATTAAAATGTTTGCAATCCTCCTGATAGCAAAGAGATTGCGTCCCAAAAGAAGTGATTAATCAACCTTTTTCGGTGCCATATTCTCAAATGAACTGGTCCATACCTCTTTACCCACGAAAACGTTTTTTAACGGATATTTTATCGCCTATCTTAATATAGGAGCAAATCTTAGATTATCAGCCAAATGCCGGTCATCTACAGGGACTTATTTCAATTTTAAAAACTTTCTCTGGAAAACAATTTAAATCCTGGTAATCGTTGTTTACGTTGTTGTTTAAAAGGGAAACAGGGATACTTAAGGCCATTACTCGAATATTTTGGGATCCAAAGGCAACTTGTGCTAAAGTACTCCAAATTCATAGGAATCATAAATTTGACGTATTCAAAACGAAAACTCCTTCATTCGTATGGGGAACGAAGGAACAACCCAAGTTCAAGCACAAAATGTAGCATTTTGGAAAGTAAAGAGTGTCAGCAATAAGTTTGCATCAATTTTGTCGATCCCAATAATGGGCTCTTTTTCTTTTTTGGGGTTTTATAAAAATCCGGGTCAAAAAAAATCGATAACTTTCACAAATAACCCCATCATGTGACGACTTGTTGGCTAGGTATTTTTATATTTTTAACGATACTTATATAGCCCATATCGGGTAAGTGGATACGGGTCTATTGCAGGACTTGAAACCGGACTTTCAGGTCCCGGATCCGTCCCCAAGAAAAAAGAAGTTTCCCGCAATCAGGGTACCTACCAGTGGAAAAAATTGAAGAGTTTGAACTAAGATAGAGTTAAGCCAAAACGAAAAAATATTCTCCCTTCTAACAAATAGATATCTAACTCTCTGAAAAAGTATACTCAAAATGGATGAATGTTGTGGCAGAAAGTATCTGCCGATATTGCAAATGTTGATGTTTTCCGATACCTATTCCTGCATAGCACTTTACGAACAAATTTTAAGATGATCTATGTCGCTGGCCTGTCAAATGAAACAATTATTAAGAGTTTAATAAGCTAAATCTATTTTAGGGTCTACTTGAGTCTGTCCTTAACACTAATGTAGAACCTCACATTTACGCACGGGAGTTCCTTTGACAGAAACTTATGTAGATGACGACCTCATACGAGATTGAAAAGCAAGAGATCATTTTGGAACTAAGCTATGGAAATTATAAAAACATCCACACTACATCCTGATGCAATTTCATTCTTTAAAAGTCTTTTACATTATCCCTTGAGAATGCATGCCAATGGTCTACACAATATAGAAACTTTTATCACATTATTTCTTGCTATTTTCCCATAGAATACATACCACACCACAGTCCCACGGTCAAAAAAGGTAGATGGTGGCGTCTCTGCAAGATTGTTTCACGTTTTAGCAAGAAAATGCTGACACTTTACTCGCAACACAACTTGGGCACGTTTTTCTGTGCAATTATAGTTTGTATAGAACACACACTCTTGAAGGAATCTAAAGATTTCCGATATGTTTTTTATTATTTCATTTCCTTTAATTAATCTTTTTTGCTTTTACCACATCGAATACACTTATTTTGTTGTGGATTTTACTTTTGAGCTTCTGTTTGCTTGGTATGATGACTACAAAATGCAACTCTGCGTGGCTCGATTCATTCCACATTGTCCACACAAATGTGTGGCACCGTTTTGTTTTGTTTAGAATGGGAAATAACAAAGAATGTACAATTCTGTTGAATGAAAAGATGGAAGTCAAAGCAGATTTTCATGTTTATGTTTTTTTTTTTTTTGTGGAAGTCATTTGACACTTTGCCGCTCTTTCTATATTGCTTTACATCTCTCATCTGTCAATGTTTATCAGGTGGATGGTGGAAGCTCTCTATAACTTGTATTATTTTTTAATAAATACACGAAAAAAAGAAATATAATTATTATTGACAAAAGTATAAACAGAAGTAAACAATAATCTTGTGATCAATTATATGTAAAAATGTGTTTAAAATCTATTAATTTTTAAAAGAAAAGTGCAATGTGCTTCATTTAGTCTAAGAGAGAGCACCTTTTATTTGACAACACAAAAAACAGAGGCAATTACATTTAACAAAATTATTAAAAATATTTAATTATGTGCACGTTTAAACTATATTTCAATTGAAAACAAATTATTTATATTCCAATTATGTGATATGTTAATAATTCATCCGTGAGAAGTACCATGTTTTTTTATATTGATCTGCGAGAGAGAGAGAGATAAAGTTGACAGAATAAAAACAAAAGGCATTCAAATTAAATATTAAACAAACGACATAAAAATGATTGTTTCAGCATATTTAAATTATGCTCATAATCATATTTATATTTTTATAAAACAATTTATCCGGGAAAAGTAAAATGTTTGAATGAAGATCAGTGAGAGAGGAAGAGTACGAGTCAAAGATCAATGTGAGGAGAAAATGCAAGGAAACGTCATGAAGATTATTACCTCTTATACGGGTATTTAGACAATAATTAACATAAAATTAAATTGCTCCTATTTTTTAGTTTAAATATATTTAAAATTTAATAAATTTTGTGAAAAAGTGCATTTTTATTATTAATATCTGAGAGAGAACACATATACTGTGAGGGGCACAATGCAAGCCAATGAAAGTTAACACCAACTTGCAACAAAGTTTAAAAAATCATTAAAGAAGAATTAAAAAAATATATTTATATTTTATTCATTTCAAGGTGAGTTTTATACTGTATATATCCTATATTATAATAAACTCTGACTTTTGGCAATCTACAGCTCCTCTATTGGCATCACATAAGCTTCGGGGTAAAAATCCTCGATTGCAAAAACTAAAGGAATGCCAAGGAATCCAAATGTGCTTTTGAATTATCCTCCCATGTCTTTTAAAGGGGACTTCGATCGCCAATATAAATGGGTGGTAATTTTTGGTACAATCTTTCAAATGGATGTCGAGGAATAGTGTCGCCTTCGGAAATAACTGTTATGGGTATTTGAAAATATTGAACACTGTATCAAAATCTGTCCGGAATATGCGTCTTCATCTCACAAACAATTTTTATTGAAGTCCACTCATTATGTCTCGGTGTAGGGCTTTTGCATGTAACACCCTAAAGTGGGCGAAATAGACATCATACCTATTTGTTTCTTTGTATGCCTACAAAAAATAAATCTACAATAGATATCAGACTATTTCCTGGCCACTATTTTTTGCAGATTAACATATATAACTTCAAATCCATAGTTTGATTTTAATTCGGATTTTAAGCACCTTAAGGGGGAAATCTATTTGTTAAACATTGGATTAAAAAAACTTTAATGGGATTACCTCTTGACAAAACTACAAAAAGAAAATCAATATACAATCTGAATCATTCCTAGGCAATGAATAAGCCAATATTTTAAAACGTTGATGAACATACCCACTTGATTAACACAGAATGCTTTCCATTAAGAATCTGTAGTATTTATTACATATTTCTTATTTCATTCAGACCTTTGATAAACAACTTTTTTAAAAGATTTCTTCAACATCAAACACATAACTTTTCTTACACGGTCACCGAAAAAACCACCACTATTTCTTTGATTTTAATAACAAAACACTTTGTGGAGTTTAATTGCAAAAATATTTGAATTTATTTCTTGAACTTTTCTTTCAATTTTCTTCCCGATAATTAAAATTTTTTATTTGTTTTCTATTTCAAGAAACTTTGTGACCAACACCGGGTTTTTTATTTTAGATGACTTAAAATGTCCACTTATTTGTGTGTCTGTATTCCTGTGGAACAGCAGGTTGTTTCGCGCAGTCGCTTTGAGAGCAGGGCAGGAAGAAAACAATCAAATTTGGGCAGAAACGATTGGTTGGTACCCTGCAGCACTATTTGGAAAGGGGACATTCAATAGCAAATGATAAATTTGGTTAAACTTCTAAAGCTCTAGATATCTACAATGAACAAATAAGTCAGATAGAACTATATATGATGTGATTTTCATTAATTTGCAAAGAAGTTTTCCTTGAAAAAAAACTGGGTTTAATTTGAATCCCTTTATGTGTTACATAGATACGCAAAGTATTCAAATTTTTTTGATGTAGGGCATACAAATTTAAATAGTAATTTGTCATATGCATGTTGATGCCTACGTATTTTATTTCTTTACTTTTTAATTTCTTGAAGCCCTGCCTATACTTCATAATACATTACTTTCCATCACATGTCTCCAATTGCCTATTTCAAAATTGCATATCTCACTTTCTTTCAGCACGATAACCATGGTTATTTGCCGCTTATGCCTGAATGAATGTAGAGATTTCAAAAATCTTTACAATGATGATGATCAATGCAATGAACTGCATCTGTTGCTGTGCAGATATTTTCATCCACAGGTAAATTGGGTTACATTTCAAAACCTAAATTTAAATAAAGTAATTATTTCTAATTTTCAGACCTTAAATATGGAAGAAGCCAAACATCTAAGATGTATATGTCTGGAATGTTTTCGGCATATTGTGGATTTTAATAGCTTTCAAGCTTCTATTAATTTAGCTCAATTAAAACTTTTAGATACTGGACAAACAGGGGAACCAGTGAAATTAGAATCCCTCGATTTGAACACGTCAATTGAAACAAAAAGCTTTAATCAAACTAACGACATGGTTGTTGGGCAGAATGAAATTTCCAATAAAATCGAATTGGAAACCAAGTTTCTTTGTGGAACACATGGATATCCAATGCCTCATAATAATTCTCTGGATGAAGAAACATCCAATGGTCTTTTGAGAGAGAATAACACTTCCCTAGGGAATTCTAACACCAAGTCACAAAAGACTAATATTTCTCGTAAAGAACTTTGTAAAAACAAGCTAGATTTAAAAATGTTCACATGTGATCAGTGCAAGCAAACTTTTGACCACAAGAGACAATTACTGCGGCACATTCGGTACACACATCATTCCAAGAGAAACCCGCCTGAATCATCTAAAAATGAATCTAACCAAACCCCATTAAGTCGCTTGCCCCAAAACCAAAGCAAAGAACTAACAAAACTTGAACCCATTTGCCATACAAATGAAAATTCTCCCCGAATTAACAGAAGAAGATTTTCGAATGCCTTTATTTATACATTTACCAAAAATATTTATAAAACTAACAAATCACCATCGAAGCGGCATCAATGGACACCGGAAAAAGAACTGAGTCCCAATATTTCCAATAAAACAACACCAAATGGTCTATATTGCTGCGTGCATTGCTCGAAAATATTTACCAATTATTCCAAGTATAGTAGTCACACTGTGCTCAAACATAATACCAGGCATATTTGCGCAACATGTGGTCTTACATTCGAACAACGTACCCACTACCGGCATCATATATTGCAGCACAAAAATGAGGATGTTGTTATAACGAGTAATTGTTCGACGACTACAACTGAGAATGGTAGTGAAAGTAATGGCATTGTACATGTCAAAATTGAACAAGAATCAGGGAGTGATGAGGAGATATTTACTTTAAGATATGATACAGATTAATTATTGTTAGAAGAAATATATATATATATAATTTTTACAGGGAACTTACATTGTTATTGAAGTGTATATACAAACCTTTTTGGTTGTGTTATATGTAAATAAAACAAATTGGTTAAAAAACAAATTGTAGTGTTTTTTGATTATTCTATTATTTTTATTTAAAGGTAGACATTTTACAAAAATTGTGAAGACCTGTAAAAAATTATTTATCTCTAGAAATGAGATTTAAAAAAGTTTACAATTCGAGACATGGTAGGTCTCACATACTTGGGAGCTATTAGAAGCTTTTTTTAGGATTTTACTCCTGTTTTTTTTTTTTCATTTTTGGCGTAGGTATTTGGCCACCGGAGAGAAATTTGAAGATTTGAAATTTCTAACGGCAATATCTCCGAGATCTCTTGGAACAATTGTAATAGAGACCTGTGAGACTATAATATTGTTACGAATATAACTTTAGATTTAAGTTAATTTAGATGAATTCCGTTAATTTAAGAATTTGAATTGTAACGTAAATTTCTACTACGCAGTTTATTTGAATAACTTCACAACAACAACTACTGCATAGATTTTTCTACATCCTTCCATTTCCTCTTTCATTGTCTATTTTGTTGCTGACGTACAATTCTTGTTAAACGTCATCATTGATGATCGCTTAATTCCTCTTTCTTTGTTACCCCCTCGCCTGTATATGTGTTGTTGTTATTGTTCAATGTAAGTTTGTATGTGTTGTTGTTATTGTTCACTCAGTGTAAGTTTGTATGTGTTTGTTGCATTGGTAGATTGTTCGTAATCTAGGCGTTACCAGATCGTCTAGAAACTTCTGTAGCGACAGGCGAGGCTCATATAAATAGGAGAAATGAATCAGATCGCGAATTGAAACCGTCGAGTAACGTAAAGTGCAAAGTAATGTTGTGTGAATAAAATCATTGTAATAATCGTAATCCGAAAGAACCCGCGTTTTATTTGGTACGAGCTGTATTGGGAAATAAAACAACGTCTACACGGGATTAAGTAAAATCCAAGAACGTAACAATATCAAGCCTTTCAAATTATATAAAAGTAAGTACACTTAGAAGTAAATCAGTTCATTTTATTTTATTTTATTTATTTATTTATTATTTTTTTTTTTTTGAGATATTTACATATCTACTATTTAGTCAGTATGTGAGAAATTGGTAGAAAAAGTAGAAAGTTGTGATGAAGATTCTTCTGAATATATCTCGGTGGCACTGGAGCTACTTTGGCAAAGGCGTGGAGTTCATGATCTTGATATGTCTTTGTTCAGTATTCAGTGTTTGAGAATTTCTGTGGAGCGTGCCCATCTGTCCCTCATACAATATTTCAGAAATAAATTGTTCACTTAATAATCGCTGTTCTGGGATCATTCGATCCAACATCACAGCCCATGCGTTGGTTATTGTTTTAGTAATATTTTGTTCTTTTGAAGCATATATTTAAATTGCAAGTTCTAGAAATGTAGTTGCTGGGGTTTTGATGAGTTCTCCTTTAATGTGGTCTGGAATGATAAATATACATATTTAATTCTAAATTCATATATTACTTTCAGGTGCCCCAATCAGAGTCAGAGTGCAAAGACATAGCAGATGGTTTTAATAAATATTGGAATTAAACCGTATTAAATCGATGCTTTTTCAATGCATTTGCAAAACGAAATTCCCTATCGCAAAACTCACAAAATTTGTTCCTCCTTTTCTACCTGAGTCGTGGGGGAATTCGATTGAGATACATCATCGTTATCGTCAGCAGCAACATTAGGTTTAGTGTTGCCATCCCCTTTGTGTCGATTTAGATGGCAAATGAGACCACGTCTGACACGAAACGCCATATTACACAAATGGCATTTGTGCTCCCGCTTGTGACTCTCCTCGATGTGCAAAAGTAAAGCATCCACACTATCGCTTACATGATTACAGTAATTACAAATGAAATCTCCGGTTTTGATGATATTTATGGCCTCTGGAAGCGGTTCTTCGGTTTCCAATAGTTTTTTGAGGATCTCTTCTTTATTGGCGCTATGTTTGGTGGTAATGTGACATGTTAGATCATTCTTTCGTTTACACTGTTTACCACAGGCGGGGCATTTCAAATTGGTCGAATGGGTTCTGAGATGTTTGCGCAGGGCATCGATTCTATCAACTTTACCACACTTCTGACATTTATAGCCTGGCACCTGGCGATGAACATGGGACCAATGATTGGAAAATTTTCGTTTACTATCACAGGTATAACCGCAGTGTTTGCAGCCATATATTGTTTGGCCATTTTCCATTACGGTCACTGTGGGTTGGGGTCGTGCCACTGACGTTTGATGCACCACGTTGTCATGTAAATTCAGACCTCTTTGTGTGGTAAAACTTTGACTGCATTTTTTGCAAGCAAACTCCTTTTCCACAGACGATGTATGGAATCGTTTCATATGAGTCATCACCCCCTCTCTAGACGTGTAATATCGGCCACATTTTTTACATTTAAACTGATTGGGGTCACGATGCAGACTGAAGTGTTCTTCAATGTGTCGTTGTGTGGAAAATTTACGCTCACAACAAATTATGTGAAAATCACGGTTTAGATGTGCCTGGGTGAAATGCTGGCTCAACAGACAATATTCCGTAAAGGTCTCTGGACATTCGGTACAGTTCATAATTGGCTGCCAATTGGCCGGTTGTGAGCGTAGGCGGGCAATTAGAGGCGGTTCTCTGAATTTTCGCCGAATTCCATTTGAATCGCTTTCGTTGTCTTCAGCATCATCAGTATCCTCCTCCTCCTCGTCCTCTTCCATGTTCATCATGTCTTCGTCATCATCGTCATCAATGGGATTTTTGTTATGATCCCCCATGATTTCGTTCAACTCTTCTCCATTGTTAAAGGTTTCTTCGCATCCCTCTTCACCCTTTTCAGGTACATCATTGATTTCCAATTTGGGCAAGGTGATTTGTTGGACATCATGAAGAAAAGGTTGCGAAACCACCTCATCGTTGTTTAAGACTTCTTCTTTATATCTGCCTAGTTCAGGTACATCAATGATTTCCAACTTTGGCAAGTTGATCTGTTGATGATCATTTGTTCGAGCATGCTGTTGAAGAAAATGTTGTCGCAACAATTTGTCGTTGTTAAATGTTTCCGTACAGCCAATACATTTAAGGGCCAGAAAGGGCGGAGGTTCGGATATTATTTCTAAAGGTTCTTGTTTAATTGCAATGGCAGGAGGAGTATATTCTGGATTTTTAGACGCTTCCTCTTCCGGTTTCACAAATTGATAAACATCATATGGGTATGGCTCACTTTCAATTTTAATATTTTGACCTTGTAGGGCGTACGAGGTGCATTCAGAGTCGTCTGAGAAGTAAGGTTCAGTTTTAATGCGTTTGTTTTCCGACATGTTTGTGCAAAAAGACTTTAAAATTCGTTTAAGCTGGAAGAAAGAAAGAGAGTTTAAGAAGCTTAAAATTTCATAATGGGTACGATACACGAAATCGATTCCAAATGTAACTGGAAGTCTTAAATTCATTTATTCAGATTCTCAAGACATATTCAATGTAGGTATAATGAGGCCAAATCAGTTGTAATTTGACAAGAATAATCAACGCAGGTTGGGGTATGATTCTCATATAACTGATTTTCAATCCCAAATTTATTCCAAATGTGGAATTGAACCTTATAAACCTTGCAAACAATTAAACAGTATTCAAAATTATTTTGTCCCCATTACCAGTTGGGGCTATGAGAATTTATCGTTGAATACATAAGGTATGGTAATGTACTGATTTGAGAATATTTTAATAAAAATAAATATAGCTTCAATCAATAATAATCGCTCAATTATGCGGCTATATTTCATTTAATTTTTATTTATTAATATTTATTATTAATTTCATGTTTATTTTGTTTATTTCCGTGTTTTTATTTTTTGCCCACCCAAATGACAACACAACAGCTGTTAATATCTCTCCCACAATGTGGAACACGGTGAGAGAAAACCAGCTGGCATACTCTCTTTACATTCCACACTTGGTTCTCATTTGTTGCTGGCTTCGGGGGCTTTTGACATTTCGTAGTTTTTCATTGGCAAAAGTTGATAAACAAAGGGATTTGCGTTAAGAAAACCAAACAAAGTACGAATAATAAATACTGAAATACCTTGTTTTTAATATCCTTGTTTTTAAAAGTGATATAGTTCTTAGACGATAATATTTAAACACAACAAAACACAATGCCCTTGATGCGCGACCATTCCAAGTGAACGAAATATTGAAAACTAAAGCCTACTTACATGGGTTTGTGTGAGTGTGACGTCGTCCGACACAAGTGTGGACCACAAATGAAACCAACAATAATGAGAGTGTGTGTGTGTGTGGTGGTGTGTGAAATGGCATCCAAAAACCGAAACCGCTTTAAGTCTTTTGTATCAGGGTCAACCAAAAAGAGACCGGACAAATGAAAATGCATGTAAATGGGAACGGGAGAATAATTACACTGTGCTTCAAAATTCATTTTTCCCTAATTAAAGGAAAACACGGGAAGATTATGAGAGTGGACCTACAAATAGAAGACATGTGTAAAGGCGTTTTAAGGTTAACTTAAACAGAGGGGAAAGGACCTCCCGCTTTAAAATTTTCGTATTAATATTACTTGGAATCATTACATGTTAGGCATATGGTGTCTTCGGCAACATTATAGATAGATAACAATACTAGGATTATTTTGGTCAAGCGAGACAAAAAGGGTCCTTTTTATACCCACAGACATATGGCAAGAGAGGGTATATATCATTTGATAGGATTATCCGATTTGGTCCAAACTTGGTACATCATAATATTTTTGTCAAATTTAGATCGAGTTCGGAGATGGGCAATATCGATCTATTCCTTCTGGTACCTCCCCTACAAAATATCAATATTTTTAAGAAAAATAATTTACTGCACAGAGAGAGAAAGGATAATCCGATTGTGCTCCAACTTTGCATATCCTAATTTTTTACATCAATGCTAGGTCAGGTGCGAATTGGGACAATATCGGTCCACTCCATCAAGTACCTCCTCCACAAAGGGTCAAAATTTTGAATAATTACAACTCTTATAAAATGTGATGTAAAAGTCTATTATTTTGTAATACCTAAACGTTTTATTTGTGTTCTATTTGCAGAATTTATCCTTTATCATGAGTTATCTAGAAAAACTCCACCATGCTGCTCTGTCGCCTATGTTTGAAAGGGAGTAACGATTGTGAGAGGCTGTATAGCGAGAGCGGAAAGGTTACTTCAGTATATGAAATAATCTACCATTATTTTCATCCCAATGTAAGTGAGAGTCCCAAAGGGTGGTAGAATACAATAGCACACATTTTACATTGCTTACAAGGAAATGTTTACTACACAGATTTGTTGTATTTTTTTAATGCTATTATTTTAACCACAACTGTCTGTGGTTTCCACACAAATTTTGTAACATGAATACGTTTTGTTTTTTTTTTTCTTTTATGTTTTACTGCAGATCTTAAATATGGAAGCGGCAAAGCATTTAAAGGTAATATGTTCCAAATGTTGGAGACACATTCAGAACTTCCAGGATTTCGAATTATCCATAATGGATGCCCAAACAAAGTTAGGCGAAATGTTTGATCTCAAAACGCCATCTGAGGAAAATGTGAAAAAAGAACCACTCAATGTTGGCAAAACATTAGAAGATGACACTAAAATAAAAGACATAACAACGGAAGAAGATGCATCACTGGGGCATTTTAAAGAAATTGAAAAGGGCGAAGAATTGGCATTTATTTCGACAAAAATTAAAGAAGAACCACATGAAGATGAAGAACTGGGAACAAATGAAGCCGCAAATAAACAGGAAATCAACATGGTTTCCAAAGTGGAAGATTTGGGGAAACATTGTAACTCCCCAAAATCTCTAAAGGAAACTTTGGAAACAAATGAAGACATAAACGAAGATGGCGATTTTCTAACACTAAAATCTGAACCCGAATCCCCAATGTCAATAGAAATAACGAACGTTTACACCCTGGTCATGGATTCCAACAATGATAGCCCAACATTTATGGTTCGATCTCCAAGTCCACAGTGTGATTTGAGTCACGATCAAGTTCAATCAAGTTCAGAGCCTGATGTAAGGCAAGTAAATTCGAGTTTTCTGATGAACCTTTTGACATCTACTGACAACGCGTCAAATCCAATTAATCCAATAAATAACAATGCCTCTACCTCCCATACATCTGGCAGTCTAGTTTCAAATTTACAAAACTTGGAAAATAGCCAAATGGATATACATCCTGAATTTGTGCCCATAAGACAACGTTTTGAGGAGATTACCCAAATGGCGGATCATCTGAAGGTCCAGGGAGTACGTTTCTTAGAAAGTCTTCTAAATATCGAAGATGAAATTGTGGAACCAATTCCGAGAATTTCATATGAGAACGTTACCAGTCAGATTGTGGTTCCCATTGACTCTGAAGCCTCAAGTGTCATCGATTATGATATCGATGATGACTTGGAATCCTGTGAACTCACGTGCATGGCTTCGGAGAGTTGCCATGAAGACAGTGCGATGAATAGCTTTGAGGCTAAACCCACACAAATTGAAAATCGTCCCATAATCTCTGTGGTTCCAATACAAGTATTAACCTCGTTAGATTATAGCAAAACTTTAGATTCTAATGAAATACATCCACAACTGGAAGAAGTAGCTTCCCCCGTACCCAATAGCAGCAAAAGAAGAAATGAGGAATTTCTTTATAGTGAGAATAGTAAAAGTTCCTTTATATACGAGCCTAAGAGTGCCGTTAATGGAGTTAAACAAAAATCTATTTCTACATGTTCGGAAAGTATGGAAAATTCCCATTTAAAAAGAACAAAGGGGGCTAACAACAAACGACCAAGGAAAGGTACTCTAACCGAGAAATTGAGAAAAATGTTGGCAAAGTAATAAGGATTTTCTGGGGTTGAAGATGCTTTGAAGGGGCTTTAGAGATCTTTTATAGATCGAAGACATTATAAAGCTCTTCTAGAGATCGTAGACATTCTAAATGTCAAGGATTACCTCCTAAAGAAAATTATTCAAAATTGTTTGTCTTGTGAAGATGTTAAAATGTTTTCTCTCTATAAAAAGCCTTCCCTAGATGGATAAAGGGTCTTATATTTATGAGAGATCTCTGGAAAGCTTTGCCACTTTCTTCAGGAAACCTTGCCTCTGTAAAAGGTCTTCTGTTGATGAAAGACCCGTATCTTTTTCAAGCCTTTGTGCTATCTTTTTAGAAATTAGGAAATAATCTAACTTTTTGTTGAAAAAAAAAAATTAACTTCTTTCTTTTTTTTTTAATAAACGTTTATGATTATTATTAATAATAAAATTTAAGTATTTTTAAATTATTAAAAAATTATTTTTTTAGGTTTAGTATATATATAGTTTTATATATTTTTGTAAATAGGATAGGTATAATATACTGGGTGAGATAAAAAAAATGCAACATCTTCAGACTACTGTCATTTCTAAGCCACTTGTCCGACATCTGTTAAAATTATTCCAGTGACAGCTCATTATATTGTTTACAAGCGAACAAAAGCATTTTCGTGAGAATTTTCCAGAAAAAGAGTTATTCGTGATTGAATTCAAGCGTGATAATGTGATTTCTTCCTCATATCTGGCTGGAAAACCACAAGTGGCTATCGTTAGAGCACTCCAGCATTTAAATGTGAATAAATCTTTTGCGTAGTCCGACGTCAAGGATGAGGACGGAAGAAAGCAGCAACATCAGCAAAAATGGTTCGAAATTTAAAGAAGCGACTTGATCGCAAACCGCGCTGCAGTGGTCAAAAATGGCTCGTGAGCTGAACAGATCGCAATATTCTATTCGGCAAATATCGGGAGTAAAGCCATTGAAATTCCAAAAAGTGCAAGAACTTACACCGCAACAGAAAGAAAATAGACTCAAAAGAGCTAAAGAGTTGCTTCGCTTGACTTGGCCGAAAGAAGTGAACTACCGAACTCCATGAGAAAACATTCGTTGTCCAGAAGTTTGTAAACGAACAAAATGATCGTGTTTACCTGACAAAGAGGTCTGCTGAGAATGTGCACCTTCGGTGCTTCGGTTGGCCACCAGAACTCAAGCGCCGACCATGGTGATGGTGTGGCCCGCCATAATAACCGATGGTCGCTCTTCGCTAGTATTAATCCACGGTGGCATCAAAATAAATGTCGAATATTTTCGCGAAAATATTCTGTATGGTGTATTAAAGCCGTGGGCTCGCAAACATTTTGGCCACATATCTGGGACATTCCAACAGGACACAGCACCATCGTACTCAGCACACGCCACCCAAGAATGGTTACAAAATGAGGTTCTTCGCTTCATTCCCATTCGCACAATGGCCACCAAAATCTCCGGATACCAATCCGTTGAACTATTGTGTCTGGAGTATTTTCAAAAGCAAGGTTGGCAAAAAAAAATTCCAAAGGGTCGATCACCTCAAGCAAGCGTTTCGTCGGAAATGGGCCAAAATACCGCAGAGCATCATTCGGGTAGCGTGTGACGATTTTATTGACCGTTTGAAGGCCAAAGGTGAACAATTCGAACAATAAAAAATTGTAAATTTGATGCTATTTCCGAATTTTTTTGATTTCATTTAATAAAATTAAAAAAAAATTTAAAATATGACTTTTGACTATGACTTTGTTGCAGTATTTTTATCTCACCCTGTATGTATTTATTTTTTAAAAAATCTAATGTAATTAAGACCTTTACGCTCATTTGAGTTGTTTTATATTCCGTAGTGTTAATTTTAAAGATTTTTGTACAAAAACCTGAACAAATTCTAAAATAAATGACATAAAATAATTTTAAAAAATTGCATTTGATTTCATTTCACAAAACCCTCAAAATTTAAAATGTTTTCCTTTACCTCCCCCTCTTTCCTTTCCAGGGTAATTTGTTTAGCCCAAATCCCCATGCCATGCAAGGAAATGGCCCTGTCGCAGATAAATTTCCATCATATTTATCAGCAAAATTTGAAAAATGCCTTAGCCTGGCATGCAGCCGCACACACACAACGCGAGACCACCTTTAAGTATACTTTATTGATTTTCCCATTTGCAAAGGAAACCATGGAAAACAGGAAAGCCAAAAATCCCATTACAAAGCAAAAGAAGTAAAAAAAACATGATTCCAAAATGTTTCAGTAAACATTTCCAACACTTCAACTTGAGCATTTCTTACATTCCATGCCATAGCTATTTCCCATGCCATGAATACCAAAGAACGAACGAAATAAGGAAAACACAAAGCCTAAATATGTTCTCAGTTATCGTTTAAGTTTTCCTAGGGGAACTGCCTATCTTCATCTGTGTGTCCTAACGACACCTCTTTGCCTACACTGAAGAAGCAAACGGCAGCCCACCACAAGAAAATGCAGTAAATATGAAATATTACAAAATATGTTTCAAGAGTATTAGAGCAAGAGAGTCTTGTGAAAGAGAGAGAGAGAGAGAGGAGGAAGAGATTTTTTCCTTTAGAGTCTAAAGTTTAGACAGAAATCACTGCAGTCATAATCGAATAAAAGTAAATCTCAAGTGGAATTGAATTTCCATTGCTGCTGCTGCTGCATCGACAATATTTTCATTTCTTTCCCACATTCTTATCCTTGACGGCAGTGGGAAGTGGGGAATGGAGGAGATCACAAAGCTGTCATAAATTTATTCAAATGCAATTTATATGTAGTTGGGAAATCTCTAAACGGTTTTTATGATGTGACAAATTATTTAAAATTGCGAGGAATATTTGGTGTGATATTCCATATAATAAATGGTGGGAACTGGGGGAAAGAGAAATACTTTTTCTAAAGGGAAATGTTCTAAGAAACAGTGAGAGACTAAGAAAACATTTGTCTGGCAACCTTAAGAGAGCAAATTAAAATTCAGCCCTGTATAAGACAAAAATGGTAAATGGATTTTTTAAGAATATTTAAGAAGGCTTAAACTCGGATTTTTTAAGAATAGGTTTTCAGGATTTTGAGGCCAGCAATAGTGGGTTCTTGAGAAAATTTTTGGAGCGACCTAAGACTAAAAATCTTGGAGTTTTTAATAATATTTTTAGCGACCCAAGGACCAACAGCAATGACATTTTTCTTTAATTTTAGGAAAGTTTTAAACGACGTCTTGATCAACACATGTGGGCTTATTAAAAAAATTTTTTTCAAGGTCGGAAGGAAAAATTAGACTCGATATAAAAACCTCATCTGAGGTAAAAATTGAAAAGAACCAATGTAACAGGGTGAGGTGAAAAAATTGCAACCAACTTCAAACTGCTGTCATTTCTAAGCCACTCGTCCGACAGCTGTTAAACTTAATCCAGTGACAGCTCATTATATTGTTTACAAGCGTACAAAAGCATTTTGGTGAGAATTTTCCAGAAAAAAGTTATTCCTGATGGAATTCAAGCGTGATAGTGTGATTTTTTTCTGATATTTGGCAGAAAAACCACACTTGGCTATCGTTAGGGCACTCTAGCATTTAAATGTGAATAAATCTTTTGTATGTCTCGTACCATCGCTCTTTACCGTGATACCGGTAGCGTACGCACGACGCCAAGGAAGTGGACGGAAGAAGACAGCAACATCAGCAGAAATGGTTCGAAATGGTTCCGTCGCAGTGGCCGAAAAATGGCTCGTGAGCTGAACATATCGCAATATTGCAATTCGGCAAATATTGCAAAATGAGCTCGGGGTAAAGCCATTGAAATTCCAAAAAGTACAAGAACTTACACCGAAAGAGAAAGAAGATAGACTTAAAAGAGCTAAAGAGCTGCCTCGCTTGGCCGAAAGTGGTGAACTGTCGAATTTGGTTCTCTCCGTGGAGAAAACACTCGCTGTCCAGCAGTTTGTAAACAAACAAAATGATCCGCTCGTGTTTACTTGAAGTCTGCTGAAAATGTGCACCTTCGGTTGGCCACCAGAACTCAAGTGCCGGCCATGGTGATGGTGTGGGCCGCCATAACATCCGATGGTCGCTCTCCGCTCGTATTAATCGACCGTGGCATTAGAATAAATGCCGAATATTATTGAGAAAATATTCTGGAGGGTGTATTAAAGCCTTGGGCACGCAAACATTTTGGCCGCAGACCTTGGGCATTCCAACAGGACTGAGCACCATCGCCACCCAAGAATGTTTACATAATAAGGTTCCTCGCTTCATTTCCAGCGAACAATGGCCACCAAAATCTCCGGATACCAATCCGTTGGACTATTGTGTCTGGAGTATTTTGGAAAGCAAGGTTGGCACTATAAAATACCAAAGTGTCGATCACTTCAAGCAAGCGCTTCGCCGGGAATGGACCAAAATACCGCAGAGCAACATTCGGGCAGCGTGTGAAGGTTTCATTGGCCGTTTGAAGGCCATAATTCATTCCAAAGGTGACCAATTCGAACAAATCTAAACTTATTCTAAAAGTTGATGCTATTTCCTACATTTTTTGCTTTCATTCAAAAAAATTTAAAAAAAATGTAAAGTTTATGGCGTTTGACTTTGTTGCAGTTTTTTTATCTCACCCACATTTTTTACTTATTTTATGTCTAGTAGATCTCCAAAAATAGTCCATACATAGATCGTCTCTAGGAAATAGTTTATGCTCAAGATCTCTATTAAGTCTTGCATGTGTTTCATGCCTTTAGAAATACCTCTGTAGATAAGCTGACGTTTTTTTTTTTGGTAAAAATTAACTCAAGAAGATCCTCTAAAAACTTTTAAGTGCTGTTTTAGGAAACTACAAAAATGTTATGGCCACTAGAAGCCTCTTTCACTTACAAGACCTCTAACAGACTTTCTATATAGAGAAGATATCTAGACCTCTGGAAGGTCTACCATCATAGACGAAAATCTAGAGGTCTTCTCTATATAGAAAGTCTGCTAAAAATATGTCCAGAAAAAATATGTACAGGAGACCCATTGATGGTAGACTATGTATACACTATCAAAAGTTCCTCGAATAAATAGCCTTATTTATCTTTTTCCATGCCATCCAAAAAAACATATGGAAACTACATTTTAAAGGTAATGCATACCTTGCTGCCGTGGGATTAGTTCCCATAGTTTCTCTCTCCCTCCTGGCGTTTATGTGGGCCTTTTGTTAGAAATGTTGTTTTTCATTTTCAACTTCATAAAGTAATTATGAAATATTAAAGGAATCAAAACAAATTTATTATTATGTCGGAATTGAATGCCGTACGGCGGAGATGCTGCAGTTAGT